TGGAGGGGTTGAAGGGAGGGCAGGGGAAGGGGGAAAAAATTAGAACCCAGAGAGATTATGTAAAGGTGCAAATTTCCAATGAGGAATGTCATTACATTGTATATGTAAAATATACCAATAAAATAAAAAGTAAGCCTCAAGAAATAAAAATAAAAAGGTTGAAATGATGGCCAGCTTTGCAATTGTGGACAGGGGGAAAAAGTTCCTGTGGGTAAAGAGGCGAAGTGCAAGATCCCCTTCAGAGACCCGGGAGAGACTGCCCTTGGGGGGACAGTCGGAGACCCTGGGCACCGTGTTGCAATTGTCTTTCAGTGCTGAGGGTGTGTGGTTGCTGGAACCCTAGGTGTGCATGTAGGGTCACCCTTGGGACATTCGCTTTTCCCTGAGGAGCCTGCATAGTCGATAAAGTTACTCCTTCATAATACTGGACAGAATGTAGATGGCTTCTCGTTAAGTTGCTAATTCCTTTGGACTGGGTTTGAATTTGTGACCCTCCTGCCTCAGGCACCCAGAAGGTATGGATGACAAGCTTTGTACAGCTCCCCAAATCACAAATCATTTTTGTGGTAGCTGGGTAGGGAAGAGGAAGACTCCCAGGCTAGCTGAGCATCCTGGATTCCCGAGGGAGACATTCTTGACTCCTTTTTAAATTTATTTTCATCCATATACTGCAACTTGGCTAGGCAGGGAGATATTTGCAATCAGCTTCTCCTCTTCAAATAGGTAACAGGAAAATCAGCCAAGTTGCCCATCGGCTCTCGACAGTCAGAAAGTCCAGGCAGGCCTGGTGGCACACACTTGCTATCCTAGCACTTGGGAGGCTGAGGCAGGAGGATCTCCATGAGTTGTTCAAGGCCAGCCTGGACTATATAGCCAGACCCTGTCTCAAAACACGAAAACAAAACAAAACAGGGCAATAAAAAAAGTTCAAATCATGATCTAAAGCCAGTGTTACTTGGCTGTATCTTGGATTTATTTTTTTAGTTGCCATGAATAGTTTTGGTATAAATTCAGGTTTCCCAGGGTTACTAAGTATGGCATTGTTTGATCACCTGAAGAAAATCTCACTTCCCCTCTCTAGGATATCAATTCCAGTGACCTCGAGGAATAGATGGTTTATCATTCACTTGTTATTTCTAAAGCCAGGAAGAGCAGAAAGTAGGGTTTTTAAAATATGTTGAGGGTGTTGAGCACCGGGGATTTAGCTCAGTGGTTCCGCCGCCGGCCTCATAAGTGCAAGGACCCGAGTTTGATCCCTGGTACCAAAAAAAAAAAATGTTGAGATTTATTTTTACTACTTTTAAGAACATCGCACCTTTTAATTAGTTAATCAAAAGAAGAGGAAAATAATACGGGCTTATCACCTAAAGAAAATTACATAGTTATGATAAGCAAAATACATTTTAAATTCAATTTACAGTGTGTGCTGCAAGTCATTTTAATGGAAAACACTACGATTTGGTTAATTACTTTGTATGGTGGCCCAGGAAGCCTCTTTCTTCTTCCTTCCTTCCTTCCTTCTTCGTCTTTTCAACATCTTCAAATAACAAAGAAAAAGCCAGGGTCTTTGTATGTGGATAGTCATAAGTCTTGCTCAGCAGTTTTAAAAACAAATTCCCAGGCTCATAGGAGTTGCTGGTGAAATGCTCAGCGTTCGATTGGAAGGTGGTGACTCACTCGATAGCTTTGCTTTCCGGAATCTCATTTCCTGACACCTGACGAGCAATTATGATTTTTTTTTTTTTATGTTGGTGTGAAACATCTTCTTTTGAAACTAAGTTTAATGGGAAATCTTTTTCAAGCACATAGGGGCCTCACATAACTTTAGTCTAATTAAAACATTCTAGGCCCTCGATGTAGCTCCGAAAGGCCGAAATATTTTCACATTGTTTTGTTCATATCCTCAATCCATTTAATTTTCTCTCCAGTTTTGAAAGGTAGCATTTATCACGTTAAACAGCTTTTTGAGTTTACTAAAGTTTCTCAAAATTTTTTAAAATTTAAAATTTAAATTTTAAATGTTTTTCCGAAATTATACTTTCTGAAATTACACTTTCTGAAATTACATATTCTGAATGCTTTTTGTTATGATGTTTGCTCTTCACTTAGTACACGAGGTTGATTTTATTCATAAAACTTTCTGAAAATCTATTATTCTTAGACGCATAGGTTAAACTTGTCCAGTTATGACAAATTATTTTCTTCGCCTAATTCTGTTTGATATTTTGATTTAGTGGGTTACATCCATATTAGTAAGTAAATTTTCTATTGTTTCTCATAAGACTTTGAGTTGGATTTATATATGTAATTTTTTGTCTAGATTATAATGTGCCTATAAATTTAAGTGGAGAAATTTAACTTTCAAGACTTAGAAGGGACAGAATATAGGAGCAAGCAGGTTAACAGAATAAGGAAGGCATTGAAATTCCACCCACAGGAGGGAGTCATTTTTTTACTGTAAATCAGAAAGGGAAATTATAATGATGTTACTCTATTAGAAAACAGCATTAATGGTGAATTTATTTTGTGATTCCATGGTAGGGAAAAGAGTAGGAAGCTAGGGAATGTACAAGCATTTATTGAAAATCTAAAAAACTCAAAAATCTAATGGGCTATGCTTTGTACATTGTTAAACTAAAAACAATTAAAACAAAACCAATCATAGGTGGGATTCATGAAAATAAAGAAAACGTAGTTAGGTCCTTTGGTAAAGAGACTTAATGTAGCCCCCAGGCAATGCTAATTCCTCAAAAATCGAGACGCTAATAAATTGCATTTTTTTTTCTGCCCCAAGATCTGCATGGGTTACCATAAAAGTTTTCTTTTGAGGAGCAGAAATCAACAACCAGTTCTGTGGGACAAAGTATTTGGGTTAAGATTAAGTCTGGAGTCAGGGTTAGGATCGATTTCCTGAACTTCAATCTGGATTTTCACAGTCACTCAAGGTAGAAAACACTAAACATCTCTGGATCTTTATGTTTAAGCAAGAGAATATTAATTTATCAATTCATGAACTGATGAAATCAATCATGTTGAGTGTGTACAGCAATTGATATATTTTGATTTTATCAGGATAAAAAATTGTATTTGTAGAGCAGGTAGTTTTCTTTTTCCTTTTCCTTTCTTTCTTTCTTTTTTTTTTTTTTTTACAGTTTTGTGCAATGTCCTGGCATTGTTAGGTGGCCCAAATAAAGTCTGGTTTCCCCTCAGGGTCCAATAACAATGCAAGACATCATCGGAAGTCCATGGCAGGAGAAATGGGATTTCCCTCCCCACCCTGAGCAATGATTTCAAGGAAACATAGAGACTATGTTTTTGCTGTGAGGATTCAAAGAAAGAAGCAGCTTTACAATATGATTTCCTGGAGGTGATGAAATGAAACACTACCTCTGAGTTAAATAACGGCAACTGCTGTGGACCTTCATGGTTTGGGCTCCCCGTAAAGATGTGGGAAACAAGCAGACTCGGTCCGAAATCCTTTCTGTGTTTCTGTGTGTGGATGTTTGCAGAACAGGAAGGGCAGTGTCTGAGCCAGGAGAGAGGGCAAGAGTTAAGCAAGACAGGGCTTCCTCAGGAATGCGGGCAGCTGGCAGCCAATCCATTCAGTGCAGGGAGAAAATGAAAACAAAAAGGTAGGGAAGAGGGAATTTTTCTGGATATCCGTTTTCTTTGGCCCGTGGCTACGGGCTTCTTCAGTTTTTCAGCCTCTGATGCCCACTAGATTCTCTCTCTCTGCAGCCTTTTTGGATCTGCAGGTTACAGTCCGGGTGCAGGTGGGATTTCTCAGTCTCCATCCTTCATACTCAGTCTCTCTTTCCCTATTTATATGCATCTCCTTGGGGTCTCTGTTTCTTTGAAGTATGCCGGTGGCATCTGCATCTAAGGCATGTGGGTACATTTGCATTCTAATACAGGATTTCATTTGTTTTGCAACTAGATGCTGCTAAACCACGGAGGATAAAAGTTAAAGGCAAAAGTCAAGGACAATTATCACAATTGGCAACTCTCTCTCTCTCTCTTGCTCTCTCTCTCTCCAGATCCATGTAGGAGACACGAGATCAAAATATATAGCAAATAGTTAAATTTAAAAAATATTAGGTAGAAGACACACTGCTGTGAATCCTCCTCAGAATCCTCACCCTATCCTTGCACACATTTATCCCACTGTTCTTGCCACTTCCCGAAGCAGCTCTGGGGTCCTCTTTCCTGAGGGTCTTCACCAGGTGTGATCACAAACACAGTGACTGCTCTGCCGAGCACTGTCCAACGGAAAGGCAGCTCGTAAACACACAACGCTGTGTCCTCCTCCACCTGAGTCACCGCATCTGGCACCGTGCGACTCCCGGCTCCTCTCCAAGGTCACGATGACCGGGAAAGGTCATTGTTTTGAGTTCACTCAGGACATCGAGGAAGCCGGGATGGCGCAGCTAAAGACCCTCAGGAAAGAGGACTCCAGAGCTGCTGTGGACAGCGGCCAGGATGGTGGGAGGAGGGTGTGCACAGCTGGGAAGGATTTTGAGGGGGACACATGGGAGTGTGTCTGTTACTGTAATAGTGCTTTTTTAAAATTTATGCATGCAAATTTTTCAATCATACCTTATACATGTGGAATATATATATATATATATTCCACCAAAAATGTATGCACATTGCAGGAAAAGAAAAACAGTATGGTATAGATGGTGTAACCCTCCTATGAAGGATCCCCAAGAATGTCCAGAAACCCACTTCACTGTCTCCTCTTAGAGAAGAAATTGAAAATTCACCTGCAGCAATTTAATTACGAAGGTCAGCAAGCAGCAGTTCGCTGTGCTAATCAATGCCTGGAAGCCCGTGGTCACCGCTGTGAGGAGCTCTCGTCATTGAAGAGGTCAAAGGTAACTTGTATGAACCTCATGGTGTCTCAGCACATCTAGTATTAAAATATTCATACAAAATCTTCTTTTTCTGAAGTGTGTATACAAAAGACATGAGCATCCGACAACTTTTGTATCCAGAGAAGTTCTAGGAAATTTCCCCTTACATTCTGAGGGAAGATTTTTCTCTATAGATGTCATGTACACAAAACTAATCTTCAGTAAAAATAATTAAGCATGATTGGTAGAAGATGCAGTCAATTCAAATAAATTTTGTTTTCCTTTTCTAAGTCATGCTCTTACTATGTAATTCAGGGTGGTTTCAAAGTCTGTATGGAGCCCAGGCTGTCTTCAAAACTCAAGGGGATCCTCCTGCTTCAGCTTCCCATGTTCTGGAATTACTGGAATGTGCTACCATGTTCAACTCCAAGTGAAATAACTTTAATTATAAAAGTTTTGGTTTTAGAAAAGCAAACTAAAGCTTTAATCTATTACGTTTTTTAACGCAGATTGACTAGTGAAACAGAGTGGTGGAAGTTAAAAGATGATTGCTCCTTTTAGGCATTTTCTTTTGTTTAATAAAGGAAGCAGTTAATACACCAGAAGCTTACAAGGAAACAAGTAAGAGAATTGCTAATGATTATTTATTTTCTGTCAAGTCTACCAGCTTCCAAGCTCTGTGAAAGAACCTGAATTCTTAGTAACGTTCCTTAGAAGCATTTTGCATCTTACCAAAGTCCTTTGCTTTCCTTTACCTCACTTTTATTAAAGTACCAGAAAATAATAGTGCTTCCAAAATGAGATAGGTCAGAATAGTGAAAAGCAGTGTGTATTACAATATTTTAAAATAAAGTGGTAAAAGTGAAGATTTTAAATTTTGCTCATGGAGATAAAATTACCCTTGTATCTAATTTGTTGTAAAAAAGTAAATTCAAATGCATTTTAATTAAAACTTTAGTACACTTGTTAAAGTGATTATAATCCAGAAGGCCAAACAAGTATTGGCAAGAATGTGTGGAAATTAAATCCCATGGGTATTCATAAAATGCTTTACCTGCTGTGAAAATCAACATAAATTCTGGGCAAAATTTAAACAGAGGTGATCAAGTAATTGAAAAGGGGAACTCAAGAAAGCACATTAGGTTCCTAGCATCACTAGGAAGCTAAAAGTGGAAATAGACAAGTGCCGATGGATGGATGGATTGGCTTGCAGAATGTGGTATATCCTTACAACGGAATATTATTTAGCCAGCAAAAATAATGTAATATCACAGGTACGTGCCACAGTGTGGATAAACCTGGAAAAGATTATGCCATGTGGGAGGAAACCCAATGCAAAAAGGCCCCATTATGTACAACTTCCCGAGGAGAAAATATGGCAAGTACGTACATGCATGGACACAGGAAGTTGTTTAGTGGCCATCGGGGCCTACTTTCGCTCAATATTACGCAGGTGTTACAAACATAAAGCACAAAGCCTGCTTCCTTGTTTCGCTAGTCTCTCTCCCTCTTCCTGACAGCATGGTGATGTCGGCTCAGACGATACAGAAAAACCTAGATGGAGAAGAAAGACAAGAAGTCCCAGAAAGACAGTTGCTGAGCACTGAAGCTGCTCTCTCTGAGGCTAGTAAAACATGATTTGGGGGTAAAATTGCTGGGAAGAAGAGTGTTCCTAGTTTTTCTAGGCAAGTCTAGACTTGGTGGGACAGGAAAGCCTGGGTTTCACCTTCAGGGCAGAAGCCCTGGGGTTTGGGGCCAGAGAGAACAGCAGGGCCGATACCAGCCCAGCAGGAAAGCCAGTGGACAGGGGCAAAGCAAAGCCCACCACTGCCTGACCTCTGCTGTGAATTCTAATAAAAGTCTTGATGGAAAATCAGTGGCTGCTGGGATTCGCCTGTCTGAGCTATTAACCCACCAGCACCTCAGCCTTGCTCCTGGCTGCCATGAATTATTGACAATTAACAGTGGCGTCCCCCGCACAACTTCCCTGATAACCACAGAGGGAGACGCCGGGCAGGAACACACTGCTGGTGTTGTCTCTGTCCAGCCGGGCGTGTCTGAAATCTCTTCCCCGGGACGAATCCCTGCAGACCGCTGACCCCACTTCCAGTCCCCAGAGGACACTCGGGTGGTAAAGGCAGTTCAAAGAAAGAGATTTCTCTCCCTTTATTGTCCTCCCTTAGAGAACTATCCACTTTAATGGATTGCATCAATGGTCAATTTAACTGGCTCCTTCGGGAACTGACAAGGCGTATCCATTCCTGTGCAACACGCAGCTGCTGTGGGTTGTGCTGCTATAAACACGGGTGTGCATGGTTCACCCTCATATGATGACTTTATTAAAATAAGGCAGACACGAACTTAAACATGGCATGTTTCCTCTTACATGAGAAAGATAAATATAAATAAAGAGCTAACTAAAAGATAGATACTAGGAAGTAGGGAGGCGGATCTTTTGCAAAAGGGAAGCAGAGCAAGAGATGGAGGGAGGGGAAAGAAAGGAGATGAAAGCTTTGTTCTGTGATTGCAGCAACCCCACACAAGGAAGGGAACCACTATGTACTGCAAATGTGGACAGATAAAAATAAAACAAAAGTGAAATTTTTAGCCAAGGCTAAAAAAGCAAAGAAAACCAACTTGCTGGACGCGTGTTCTGGTGACTTCTATGCTGGTTCCCTTTAACACGAGGGAAATGTATTGTCATTTTTATTAATTGTCATATAATAACTATACATATGTATGGGGTAGAGTGAGATATTTAACACATGGATACAGCGGGAAGTCATGAAACACGAGTAAACAGGACTTGTCTGACCCCCCAAATCCATCGCTTTTCTGTTGAGAGCCTTCCTAGGCCCTCCCTTTACTTCTTGAAAGAATATGCAATAAATTGCTGTATGTGAGAATAACTCCACTTTGCACTAGGATACTTGGAGGGAGTCCTCTTATGTGATCATGTTTTGGCTGGGTTGTGTAATATTTGCATGCAAAAGGTATCACAACAATGCAAGGTGTGACTGGATGGAGATATACTATAAAACATCTACTTTCTCTTCTAAAGATCACCTACCAAGTTTCTTTTTCACCTGACAATCTGAAAAAATCTGCCCTTTGGCTTTAGCTGTGGAAGTTTCTGCTCTCCACAGAGACTCTTATAGTGAACTTTGGTGAAGTAGTGGGAGCTGAATTATGGTTTCTGGGGAAGGGATTTGCAGTTCACTACCAAGCACCGACCTCTGAGAGATTCAGAGAGACCAGGTCCAGAAGGCAACATGAGAGAGAATTCGCCCCACCTCACAACTGTGGAATCAGCGTGAGAGAGGAAACTGGGATCCCAAGTGGAGCTGGGTTTTCTAGGTCCTGCCTGACCCTCAACATTTGGCAGAATGTGCTAGGATGTTTCATTGGCAGGTGGGCTTGGTGTGTGGCCAGCATCTGCTTGCTTCCATGTGGGCGGGTGGTGTTCAATCCACTGGAGCCTGTGACACTGCAAAAGAGGGGAAGAAGGGTAAAGTCTCTCACCTGGGACAACTGTTTCTTCTTCTCTGGGTCATTGGGGTCCAACTTCTTAGATTTCGGGACTCACATTGAGCTGAATCGCTGATGCCTTCAGCGAGCCTCCAGCTTGCCCTTCTAGAAGAAATTGTGGTTGGATTTGTGAAAGTCACTGATTTTCCCGAACACAACACTTCTTGGATATCTATCTGGATCAAAGCCCTCGTGTTTCTCCAGAGAACTGTGACTAATATAGCACATATTGCATAGCATACAGTGAGAATAAATGAATCACAATGAATGGGTGAATGAATGAATGAGTGAATGAATGAATGGATGGACGGATGGACGATCCAATGGATTATGGTCTACTTACCTCATGGGACGTGATATAACCTTAATCAGGGTGGAGGGGAGCTATGGCAGGGAACACGAGACATTTCCATATATTTTATGGAAGCCAGCAGTAGGCAGGACAGATAAATACTGAATAATAAGATCTTCATTCTATAAACGATGATCACTAAGTGTGCATAAAACTATAACATTATATATGTAGAATGAATACACATATAAACATGTGTGTCTGTATGCATATAATTATTTGATTAGAATATATTAGAGTATTTACAGGTGTATATGTGTGTACCTGAGGGTACAGATATCGGAATATATATGTAAGCATGTAGAAAGAAGAAATGGCATGTGCTAGTTTTAGTTACTTTTTCATTGCTCAGACCAAATACCCAGAAGTTAAAGGAGGAAAGGTTTGTTTGGCTCATAGTTTATGGAGGTTTCAGTCCACAGTAGATTGGCTCCAACTCCAAAACAGGGTGGCATCAGCAAGCAGAACAGTCCATGGCAGGGTAGCACCAGTGAGGAGAACAGTCCGTGGCAGAGTAGGCAGGAAGCAACAAGCAACAGCAGTGAGCCTCCCTTGCTCTTTTGTCCCATCCAGGCTACAAGTTTTGCCACCCACACCCAGATTGGAGCTTCCCATTATCCCCAAAAGAACTATGGTAAACTAATCAGTGGACTAATTTAGTACCGCATGATGTTAATCCCAATGTCACACATCCCACACATCCTAGATCTGGCCAGCTCCAAAGAGCCCACCTACAAGGGCATGAGGATTTGGGGGGACATCTAGATACATGCCATCACATTCAGGATATAAAGACAGTTGAAACAGTGAAAGAAGTGGGAAAGAATGAGGAAGTGAGAGAAAGAAATCAATGCAAGAGTTTAAAAAATTACATAAGTATAATGGTACACGATAGATGGGTAATTAGGTAGATGAAAGGTAAAGATAACATAGATTGATAAAGGTTATAGGTGATAAAAAGTGTATAGATACAAGGGATAGGAAGGCAGATATAGATAGGAAGATAATGGTGGATAGATTGGCTGGGGATAGAGATTAGATACATGATTAATAGATAATATAGATGATAAATAGCAGTTTTCGCTCTTCTTTCTGGCCACCACAATGAGAATATCTCTCCTCCCCCCAACCCTTCCACCATGTCCTTCCTGCCTTGGATTTAGCTGACCATGGACCGAACCCTCTAAAACACTAAGTCAAAATAACCTCTCCTCTTTTAATTTGTGGATGTCAGGTATTGTGTCCCAGCAATAAAAAATGATTAAGACAATAAATAGATGATACTTGTATAGGGATTATATAGCCACTTAGAATTGATGATTGATATTGATACAGACAGACAGAGATGATAGATATGATTGGTATATTACTTGATAGACCATGGGTAGTAACTAGAGTGATAGTTGATAAATGATATTAATAAATGAGAGGCAGATTAAAAATAAGTAGGCTACCATATTAAAATGTGTGAATGACCACATTTCTTTAATTGTGAATCCATGCCAGCATGTGTGATCATATAAAATAATGCCCTTTCATGTAACTTAAGATAAAATAAAGCATCATTATTTGGTTCAGTTCCTACCAAGACTTTTGCTCAGATGTGCATGAGTATCCATCCAACAGTTACCTTGTGGGGCAGCCCAGATTTGGGAAGGAAATTGGTGATTATGAGACAGAAAAGCCACAGGGATCCTCCCACATTAAACTGCCATGTTCGATGACCGCTAGGTAGTTATTGACTCTGAAAGCTATGAGCATTGGTGAGTTTATATGGCGAATGTACAGTGATTACTGGTGCACATTATTTTATCTTTACAAATGTATAACTCGCAAAGGCGTCATTAAGCGATTCAAGTTCCCATTATAAAATGAAAAAGATTGTGATACCCTAGCACAGTATATCCATTTATCAGACAATGAACTACACAGCTTGGCTTTGGTCTGCTCTCCGCAGGGCAAGTCAGAGGATTTGCATTAAGCACAAAGGACGGGAAGCAATTTTCTCATTCTTGTTCTTCTAGCAGAGTCCGGGCGTGGAAGGCAGGGAAGAGTGGGCACGGAGAGTTTTGTTGTGAAATCAAACAGCAGCATGGGATTGCTACTCAGAGGGATGATGAGGAAGTCCAGCGGTGTGTGGATTTCTGGTTGGCAGGCACGTACTCATGTTCCTGCGGATGACGCAGCAACTCAGGAAATGCTAAAGTCGTATTAAAGAAAGAAGGAAGAAGGAGGCTGTGAATTCAAGAGGACAGGAAACAGGGTTCGGGGCAGCAGGGAGGCTTGTATCAAATCGAGGAGCAAGTGCTTCTGTGGGACCCGAGGGGCAGACACGCTTCTGAACGGGATTATGTTCCCGCCGGCTGGAGTTCTCAGACTGAAATCCTGAAGGTTTGGAAGAGCGTACATGGAGGGGCGGCTTCGAGGAGGTGACTGGGGATGCGTGAGCTCTATAGTTTGTCTCCCCGAGGCGATGGGATGAACATCGTGCGAGAAAAGGAGGTAACAGCTTCATCTGTTCACTTGATTTCCAGGGACCGACATCTTCCCTTTGGGCAGAGGGCTCTCACCAGCAGCTGATTCTGTCTTGGTCTCCTCAGAATTCCTGTCCTCAGAACTGTGCGGAGTAAATATGCATTTTTAAAGTCCCATCATCCATGCTTTTTTTGTTACGTCAGCCCAAACTAAACCCATGTGGAGACGGAGGCAGAGACTGCAGCCATGGGGCTGCAGCCCAGGGTCAC